AATTTTGTAATATATATATTTTTAAAGATAGAATAAAATGACTTGTAATACATGTCTCTAGAATAATAGTTTTTGGGCAAAATGTCAATTTAAAATTACTGGGTCACTTGTCAATTGAAAAATGAACTTTTGATCCATCGAACTGGTGAATTTTTTTTTCTTTTCTGGAACAACACTATATGTTTGTATGGTGGATGTGGTAAGGTTTTGAATTTAACATTGTTTGGTTGATTTTGCTAAAAATGACCCTGGTCAAGTTGTAGGAAGATCCTAGAAAGCAAGTGTTACCTATACTTTTTTTTTGATAATTTCAGAGCATAAATAATCATGACATACTTGTGACATACTTGGTAGGATAAAAATGGAAAACAAAAAAAAATTGATAAGGAGAGATGAAAAATCTTACATGTTAAGTATGTATTATACATATAACAAAAACCTTCTGTAATTTCATTTTTAAATGTTTTATTTATATTTTAATGTTATTTCTTTTTTTTTTCTAGCCCAAAAGTTCCAACTTGGGTGTTTTATTACAAGAAGGTTCCAAGTTTTATTTACGAAATAATCAAATGCAAAAGGCTGCTGAGCTGTTAGAGGATTTAAGACAGTAAGCACAAGTGTATAATTTCTAAATTGTCTTATTCACAAAATGACTTTAATTTTTTTTAATTAATACTTCTAAACACATTCATCATAGATGCTAGTATTATTGTTCCCACAATTATTCATTTGTTTTGGAAAATATGATTTGCAATAGATTTTTGATAGGCTTTGTAAAATAACATTTGATTTTGTTAATATTTTGTTTTTAAAAAAAACATTCACTTTTAGGTCCAACCCCAGGGATCCAAGAACTCTAGCTCAGCTGATTTCAGCATACTCACAATTCAATCCCAGTAAAGCTAGAGAGTATCCTTTGTCAGATATTTATTAAAACAAAGAAAAAATTTACATTATTTATCTTCGATAACCAATTTGGTAACTAAACTCTAAACATTTTACAAATTATGTATCACACCATTTAAAATTTAGCTTTATATGCAGATTTCTGAAAGAAATTTAATAATAAATCTTGTCTTTTAGAAAATGGGTGACAGTTTAGAGGCCTAGATAAACAATGAGAAACTTTTGTTTACAGAATAGCGTAGTTGTACTTACAGAAAAAATAACTGCTAGTACAGTTGTAAACTTTGACCAAATAATTAGGATAAGTAGAGATTTACCTCCTGTTGGTGACATGTCTGAAGCTATTGATGTGAACTTCCTGGAGACAGCTAGTTGGAGCATGGGTGCTAAGTATGTCAAGAAAGGAGGAAAGACAGAAGTATCTCCATCAGCTCAGAGTAATGATACAGTTATCAAGAAACGTCACAAGAAAAAGAAAAAAGGTAACTATTCTTTTCATGATGTTCATACCCCAAAACATCTTTTCAGAACATTATGAAAGCAAAATGTTTTTGAAAAACTAAAAATGCATGAAAAACAATGAATTTTTGTGAAACAAACTACACTTGTTTCATTATGTGCAACAGAAAATATGTTCAAACTAGTAAAACATTAAGGTGTGATATGTCTACATAACTAAAGGTAAATATGTTTAAGCTTCATAGCTTATAAAACATAAGCATAAAAACAGATCTACAAGCATTTGAAATTTTCTGATTTTTGTAGAGATACTAGAATTTCTTGACAATTTTCTGGTGTCCTGAGACATTGAAAGTATGAAATGCATACTTCAAAATACATTTGGTGGTTAAGATGACTCCTGATTAGTGTTTATGTAAAGAGAAACCAAAAGAAACTCAGTACAGTTTCATATATATTACAGTGAAGAATGACACTCTCTAAGGATAGTATTATAGATTTCATGTTGGAACTATAGCATCCATTGTTGGTCATGCTCTGAAAGACCATGATTATGTAATATTGCCTGATATCACAATTTCCATTTGAACTAGCTTTAGCAATAGATGAGCAAGTCACTTTAGAACATGCATCTTAATAAACTATCCACATACCCTTCACTGTGGGTGCCACTTTCCTAGATCATGTTCAAACAGACCATAAGAAATCCATTGGAGCTGCACTTATCAATGATCACTTGCTGTAACTTTAATTTCTCTGGCTATCTTTCTCATGAAGTTGGCTGTTGATTTTGAGGGATGGGAGCTTTTCACTTTTAGCTGGTCAGCCATTCTCAACTTACAACCTTGTTTTTAACTTTTTACAGTACCAGGACATATGCTTAGCTTCATTGCAGTGGCTTTATCGGTTTGAAAATTCTTTTTTTTAACAATTTCATTAAATTGATAAGTGAACATTTGTCTTGTTTTTATAAATTCAATGGTAATATATATAGTTAATATCATATAACTTTGTGAGTTTCTTCATTACACTTGTAGAATGACATCAGATATTGATATTATACCTTACAGTTGGCTACAATAGATTATTAATCATCACTGGTTATAATCTTGACTTCTTGGGACTTAATGTTGAAGAATCTGCAGTAAGGAAGAAACATATGAAAAATATATAGCTGTGTCATCCCTATAGTCATTTTTATGTTCTTTTTGGTACTGCCATCCCTGAATCATTTTACAAGATGATTTTTATTACTTGTTTTGTGACATTTTTCCTCATGACTGAAAGTTAGTGTATTCCATGAATGTGTAGTGATTCAAATTTAATATCATGTGTTGTAATTTGTTTTTACTTCTTCACTTCTTATGTAATATAGGGGTTGGCTCTTTAAAGACACTGATTGCATAGTATATAAAGCAATGAGTATTCTACATGTTACAGTCATCTAGTGTTCATCTGTTTTTGGCTGGTAGTTCCTGTTTTACCGTGTACTTAAACTTTTTAAAGGAACACCAGATTTCTGTAAGAAAGCTAACTTCAAGAGGTAATGATAACATCATTTACACTAGAATTAAGGTTGTTTTTTTTAGCTTATACTAAGTATTAACGTGCATAGTAATAGCCTGTTCCGAAATGCTCTTAAAATCTTTTGTCATACTAAAGCCATTTCAAAAACTTTGCACATGTTTTGGCTAGCATGGGAAAAGAAAAAACAAATATGAACACTTTGGTTTTTAACTAGTCCCCAGTTCTCCACCTTAGCAACACTTTTCATTGAAAAACTTGATAATAGCAATTAGGTGCTCAATTAAGGCTATAACTCAACTTTAGCAGTAATTTGTAAGCACCATAGAGTAATATTGAATGTGGCAGCCATTTTTTTTCATAGTCCATCTCTACAAGCTAAGTACTACCATGCTTAATGGTAACAAACTATATTAAATCTGGTACTTTTAAATAAAACATAATCAAGAATCACCAAGAAGCTGAATTATAACCTAATTTAATTTTTGAAAAACAAAAAGATATCATAAAATCTTGTCAAACTGTAAATAAATCATAAGTTAAATATAAAAAACACTTACACTCAGGTTTATATGTATGTGATAATCACACACACACACACACACTGCTGTATGGATCTTAGCAAAGAATGGAAAGTATTCAATACATTGGGTAGTTGGAACTAGACACTTTAATAATACACTCAAAACTAAAAAAAGATTTCTAAACCATTTACATAGACTAGAAATGAAATTGACAATGTACAATTTCATTGTCATTTACCTGTTTTCACAATCTCCCAATCACAAAGTTATAACACTAATAACAAATATTATTCCACAAGATCCTAATAAAAATAATTTATATACAAACTGAAATGTTATTTCAACTTCTTTGGCTTTCTGCATCTATATGCTTCCAATATCACATATACAACTACATGGACTAAGTATGGAAAACTATCTGGAATGCTCTCACTATTTACCTGACAAACATCTAACAACAAGTAATACCCACATCTTTACACAAACCAGTGTACTATCTATGATAAATTAATGACCTTTTTCATGGTTTCATTTACAATAAGGAACAACCACAGTTTCTACAACATTTAAACAATATACATGTAGACATTAACTTTACTGTAGAAAACGAAAATAATTACACAATTAACTTTCTAAATGTTACAATCACCCAATCATCCCACAGTTTCAGCACAAAGGCTTACAGAAAAGAGACACGAAGTGAAAACTATGTTAATTGGCTTTCCAATCACACAATAAACCAAAAATTAAGCACACTAAAAGGTCTAATTCATTTAGCCTACACTATTTGTACAAGTGATAACATTGATGAAGAAATTTCTTACTTAACCAAATGTTTTACAGGCCCTAACAAGTTTCGTATTAGAAAGGTTCACCAAATAAGAAGTCAGTTTCATTAGAGAGTAAGTTATAATCCTGAATAACTTAACAATGCAGAAAACAATAATAGACAAAAACAACATATATATATATATATATAAAATAAACACTGACATAATTCCATTCATTGATAACTTAAGCACTCATGTTGTAGAAATATAGCAAATATTAATATACAATTAATACCAGATTCAAAACCAGATGATAAGAAAAATATATGATGAACCTCCACAACCAGGAATCATATACAAAATACAATGTAACAACTGTTCCGATTTCTGTATTGGTGAAACTAGATGTAAAATTTTCACACAAAAGAACATCAAAAGCCCTCCTCACATGTAAATTACCAATCACCACACACTTACAGAACACAATGTCTATTAAAACATTAACTTAATATAAACAAAAGGAAACTAGCAGAAGCTTTGCTATTTATTGCACATAATCCTAAAATTAATAAACATCCATGCACATCTCTTTACCTTTTTTGACTTCAAGTTAACTACTTACTCACACTTTTATATAAATAACTAGATCCTTTATATTAAGTTTACTATTATGATCTTAGTATACGATTTTTCATAAACCATAGCACATTTTTCACTTTTAATTTTAAACATGCTCATACATGCCTTATCTGTCTTCCTATTAGTATTATAATGATATTCCAATTTAATTTCTTCTGTGTTTGTACTTGAAAATGACAGCACTAGTGGTCAAATTGTTGTACTTATTCTAATATGTACATATAAAATGTTTACAACTACCCACTATAAATTGTCAACAAATTGAATATTACTATTTGGTGGGAAAACTCATCCCTTTGTAAACAATTAGGTTTGGGGACCTTGTATTTTGAGAGATAAATGAATGAATTTGTGATGATGAGAAGAGAGAGGCAATACATCTAATATAAGATGAAATAAATATTTGTTAAAATAATAAAAGACGGGTATTAAAGCTACTTGTTTGACTTAATTGTAGCTAGAGTTGTGTATAGAATAAATTAAATATTAAACAAAAAAGATAAATGAACTAACTGTATTTAAATAAAAAAATAAAATAAATTTTACTAGTGACTTACATACATTGAGAGCAAGAGTTGGGTTTGAGGGCCAAGTGTTTTTTTTAATTCTATTTTGAAATGATAATAGATTCATGAAATATAAATCAGGAAGCTCTAAATTCAGATTATTTTACTGCAGAATGTTTTTATGGATGTTTATTTTTGTTTTTTTAGTACATTCCTGATGAGTAGCTTTCAAATGTTTCCATTTCTTATTCCAATTGGCTGCATTGGTAACAGAATTGATCAGAGATTGTATGAGGTTTTCTCGTCTACAACTTCCTGAAGACAATCGCAAGCTATTCTATGAGGTGTTGCTTTTAATGGGAACTTTTTGGAAAACAGATATTTAGGGTGGTACCCATCATCCCTCACCTCCTCCTAACATTGCCATTGCTGGCCTTTTATGTGACTTGGGATTATTTAGGTTGTAATTCATTCTTCTCAGCCCATAGGTAGATATAAAGTTCTGCAAGGCTTACTGAACTGTATACAATAAGAGAAACTCCTGTTTTTCCACTTTGGGAGGATTGTCTAATCTTGTCTGCCATAGGTATACCTACCATGCATACACCTCTTGAAAGATAACTTTGAGGAAATTTAAAGAAAACAAATGAGGGTTTAGACTTTAGTATATAAAAGTAGCCTACTAAATATTTCCCATTTACTGATTTTAATACAGCTCTTGTATCATGTTTCAACTTACAACATATGAATTAACCAGAATGTTATTAAAGAACTGTACATTAAGGCAATGCTGTATCATTGTAGGTTTTTATTACAGATTGTAATCAGCTTTGTATTATGTCATATTATATGCAGCTTGTAATCTTTAATACTGCACGACCTTCATGTGTAAAGCATCATGGTTTTATATTTGGATATGTAATTTTATGTTTTGCCGTTACTTACCACTCATTCTCTCTAGTTTGTTATTCTTTTTCTGAATGTAACTTATTATTGAATACTTTGGCCTACATATTTTTTCTTTAAATTGAATACATTGTTTTTATGTTACACTTAGTGAAGTGCAAAAAATAATTTCAACTTCTCCAACATTTAGGAAAACTACCCAAAAATTATGATCCCAATGTTGACCCTGACCCAGAAAGATGGCTACCTCGAAGAGAAAGATCTACCTACAAAAAACGGAAAGACAGGAGAGGTGCAGGTGGTGGCATTGGTATGGAAATTTTCATTTAAAAACTCCTATGATAAAATTATTTTCTGTAATAATAATAACTATAATATATCCTATAGAAAAATCTAAAATGGTAACTTTGTATCAAAAGCTGTAATTTTCAAAAAAGCAACACTAACTTTAGTATATCATGATAATATGCAATAAAGAATAGTTTGAATTGTTAAATAAAACTTCCAGTCATAAATATATGTGAAAATTATTACTAGTCTTTCTAGTTCTTCACTGAGAGCTTGGAAAGAAAGAAATAATATGTTAGTAATAGTAGATAAAATATATTTACACATTTTTGGAAACTTAACTTTTTTTAATAGCTCAAGAAATAGTATAGTGATATACAAAGAATCGAGAGGTTTTCATGTTTGTGTGGATTGGTGTAGCCTGCTTCAGATACATTAATTTATGATGTAGAATGAATGCAAATATACATTAAAATTTTGTAAAAGATTGTTGAATAGTTAAATGTTTCTTTCCATTAATCCATAAAAATTTGACAAAAGAAAAGCTGTTGTGGTATAGAAATGTTGGATATTTATGCTGAAAAAATTTATAAGTAACATCGCTTGTTTAATTGAATGTTTTTTTCAAAATTTTAGTATTTTATGAATTCATTTTCGAAAAAATGTTTTGAAAGTGCCATACACTTTGTATGTATTCATGTACATTTCTTTTTAAAAATATGCTTTAACTTCTGATAGCTTAAAGTAAGGTAAAAATGGTGCATATATAATAATATGATGAAACATCACATAAGTTGAATGATAATATAGAGATTTCCAGTATAAGTAAATTATAGCATTTTTATCAGACACCCAAACATCTTGATTGAATTTCTTTCTGGTATTAGTTACTCATAAGGTAAGTATAATTAAAAATGAAGCAGTTAGAATTATCATCAGTCTCATGTTATGTTATTACAGTTTTTCAGAAGATGAAAAAATATTAAAATCGTGAATGAAGAAATATACAACTTCAATTATTTTAATTAAATGTATTCTGGATTATAACAAATATCAGTTTTTTTAGTAGAACATTTGTAGAATTGATATCATAATTTTAGTTAAAAAATACATGTGTACTACTTGGATAATATTTTTCTTTTTTGCAGGAAAAGGAACTCAAGGAGCAGTTGGTGGGGCAGGAGAAATGTAAGTTGGTATAAAAGCAAGTATATGAAGGCATGTAACATCGACATTTTATCCAAACCCGTTTTTAAAGGTCATTTATGGGTAGGGGACTTAATGATGTCGAGTGATGATTGTATATTGTACAGTTATGAAAGTTATTTTTCAGAAAAGTTTGGACAAAAACTGTAATTTATTTTTTAAAAACAGTTTTTATTAAGTATTAGTACTTTCATTTGATTAGACATTGATATACTTTTATAGTAATGGAAGCAATGCTATGTATCAGCTGGTGTACGATTATCAAAAAGCAAAATCTAAAGACATTTATTCAACTTCTGAAATTATTCATTTATAAAATTAAGCTTTTGTGGTGAAGTAATTCAGTTTCTAAACCAACAAGAAAGCATATGAGGTTTAGCAGATTTCTTAATTCCAAACATATAAGTTTGGAGAATTTAAATGATTGGGAATTGATTTGAAGTCAGTGTTACTTTATCAAAGTGAAACCAATTTGGGACTTAATTTTATTATACAGTGCTAACTGAATTAATGATTCTTGTACTTTTTTTTTCTTTTCTATATAAAGTGATGTTTCCAAAATCAATGCATCTCCTCGTCCTGGTAGTGTCACAACCTCACCAGCAGGGGGAGCTATGACTAGCCCACAGGGTCCCAGACAACAGCGTCCTCAACCTGCTCAGAAGAAGAAAAAGAAAGGGGGCCGTAGATAAAATTTGTATGTTAAAAAGTCGATTGCTAAATTGTAGAAGTTGGGGAATTGGCAGATTCATGTATTGATTATTTGTACTACTTCAGTTGAGAAGTAAAGAATTTAAGTCATTCAGAAATAATATACATAAAGTACATCTCTGCAATCATTTAACTTTTTTTCCCGTCATAAAGTAAATCATGACTGCTTATTATGGTTTCAGTAACTAATTAATGACAATTTTGAAAAAGTATTTCAAAGTACACATGGAAGTATATATAATTAACCTTGTATCTGTGAGCACTCATTCTGGAATACAAAATTTATTGGGATAACTAATAAATGGCATTGTAAATAAATTTGCTGTGTATTTATTTTCATTCACAAAGTCGATTCAATTACAAAATATTAGTGATATTGGTAAGTTAATATTTATAATGATAAATAAAATCTTGTGTGACCCCAAAGTTAATTTTCCATAACCTTTCTCAAATATTTTTAACTGTGTGGTGAGTGTATTATAAAGAACATTCTTACAAATTAACATGTTAGTCTTTTTGTTTTATTATAATTATTATTTTACGTTTCACTGGGCACTTGCAGACTTTTAAAGCTAACAGGTTTCATTTGGGTGCTTTAAATCCTGGGAAACTGCTTTAACCAAATCTAGCCCCAGAGATACCCTGGAAAATTGACATTTTGTTACTGGGTCAAGGATTTTTTTTGTTTGGATACTTTTTTTTAATTCATTTGTTGCAGTTCACATTTTTAAGCCAAAATTTCTACAAATATATCAGGTAGGACCTAACTCAATTTGATGCACTGTTTATGCTTTAGGATTGGCTCACTTGCTTTGTCAGTAAAATAAGTCTATTCTTGTGCGAGTTCTGTGTTGCCAGAGCTGAAGAGTGAGACTACTGTCTAATAATGATTTAATAAGTTATATATTTCGTTCTATTATCAAAATGCTTTAAACTCACTCAAAATTGTCAGATGAATGCCATGTTAATGATGAGTGACCAGAAGCCAGGTTTATGCATAATATATACAGGAAATTTTAATAAAATGCAAAAAAATAATAGCATGCCTTTCTAAAATGCAGATGAAAGAAACCTACCGGTTCAAAATATTTTATTATTTAATGCAATATGAAAAACATTTTGAGCATCCTCTTAATGAAAAAAAAACCACGGAGATGTATATCATAAAGCCATGAGATTGAAATTTTTATTTTTTTGCCCCATCCCCCCCAGAAATGTTACTGGACAGTAGGTGATGCATTACTTCTAAGAACATTAATTTTTCAGCTATATCACCTACTTGTTTACATGCTGTAATTCAGATATTTATTTTCCAGTGTAATAGTTTTAAATTCCAAAAGCCAATATTAAGAGGAATGTGGAAAATAATCCTCATTTTTATGATTTTTTTTTATCACAAGTTTTAGGCCTACTGATTGTGGATTGTAGTAATGACATTAGTTTTTGGTCACGAAAATTATAATTTTTGTGGTTATGAAAAGTGCATGAAAGGTTGTGATTTCACGTCAAAAAAATGGTGTAAGAACCCTATACTAATTTCAAATAGATATTCCACTGACACACACACACGCACAGATTTTAAGGTTATAAGTTGTTTTGGTGATTTGAGCAAACCAATATTTATGTTGAAGTAGTTCAAGTAACTGTTAAATGATTAGAAAGCATTATTCTGTATGTAAACAAAATAAAGTACTTGTAAAACTTGTAATTCTAATGTACAATATATTTTTATTTCTAAAAACACCTAAGCAAATAAAAGCAAGAAAAATTCCTTTGCATGTAATATTAGATTTGCTCAAAGTGTAAACTGGTGAACTTATTTGTCAGCTGTAACTTTGGAATCTATTGATGAACTTTGGTACTAAAGATAAGGACATAAAAATTTGTAAAGTGCCTACTTTGAATATTATTGATAATCATCCTTTCTTGAAAAGACTGTTCATGAGTTGAAACAAGCTAGAAGATTTTGTAATTTTTTCAGTTAATAGAATGTTTACAGTTAAACCACATATTATGAAAAAAAAAAAATTGCTTTCAGATACTTTCCATAATTTGTTGGAGTTGTAATTAATCTTGAATTATTAATATGTAATGCTAAGCTTAATCTCGAGAAAAACTTGCCAGTTGATAAGATTGCATCACTACTATGGGTTGAGAACTTCTTAAGTGAAATAAGACATATATAAAGATAAAGGACTATATTTATGTGATTTGGAAGGGCTCTTGTAATAGACTACATAAACATTTTGTACTTAAAATAGATTTCTTAATGTTTCTTCACAAAGTTTTGTTTTAATATTGTTTAATCAGCTTAGTTTTAAAATAATTATGTCATCCTAATGCATTGAATGACACTCTACAATGATGAAGCAGTAAAATATTAGAAAAGTATTTTTCTATTACCACAAGTTGTTTTGCATTGAAAACTACTTGAATGAATTATTATCACTATAAAATAATTATGTCATCCTAATGCATTGAATGACACTCTACAATGATGAAGCAGTAAAATATTAGAAAAGTATTTTTCTATTACCACAAGTTGTTTTGCATTGAAAACTACTTGAATGAATTATTATCACTATAAAAAAATCAGATCCAAGTGAAAATATTGAGATAACCATGTGAGGTTTAAACCACTTTTAAAGAGTTTAAAAAAACTTGATATAGAGCTACACTAGATTTTTGTGAAAGCTTCTCATTTTCTAAAACCAACAATTCAAAGTTACGTATGAAACTCGTTGATTACTTTTTCCATTGCATGGCAAGTTTAACAGCTGCTGGTGAACACTATAGAAACATAAAACCAAGTTTCTGACATAATAAACAAGGAATAATTCATTACTTCTCCATGTCCACTACATAGAATGAATACCAAATACACTGGGTTAGAAATTTTTAAACATGTTTGATGGCAATGTCCAGCCATTAATGTAAGTCATTTTCATTAACAGTAACACCATGAAAGGGTTTAATAGGACTTGTACTTCTCTGCTGGTGACCTCCAGCCATTAATGTAAGTCATATTCATTAACAGTAACACCATGAAAAGGTTTAATAGGACTACTTCTCTGCTGGTGACCTCCAGCCATTAAGGTAAGTCGTATTCATTAACAGTAACACCATGAAAAGGTTTAATAGGACTTGTACTTCTCTGCTGGTGACCTCCAGCCATTAATGTAAGTCATATTTATCAACAGTAACACCATGAAAGGGTTTAATAGGACTTGTACTTCTCTGCTGGTGACCTCCAGCCATTAAGGTAAGTCGTATTCATTAATAGTAACACCATGAAAGGGTTTAATAGGACTTGTACTTCTCTGCTGGTGACCTCCAGCCATTAATGTAAGTCATATTCATTAACAGTAACACCATTAAAAGGTTTAATAGGACTTGTAATTCTCTGCTGGTGACCTCCAGCCATTAATGTAAGTCGTATTCATTAACAGTAACACCATGAAAAGGTTTAATAGGACTTGTACTTCTCTGCAGTTTATCTCACAAAGGAAGTAAAATGTTGGGTCAAGTTGCTAGGATATTCACTGGCTATATTTTCTCTTGTGACTAGTTATTAGAGACCTGTGCTATAGGGGAAATATGAAAGGCATCCACAGATGAATGTGGGATCTAGTAGGGAGACTTAAGGGAAGATGCTTTTGGGGCAAGGAAAACAGGTCTTACTTGTTCAGCATGAGCTGAAGGGTTAATTGTAATGCTGTGTGATTTCCATACCACAGAAGCTACTGTTGGTACTTTTCCTTCTTGGGCTCTAATTTTACTAGGTCATCAAATGTGACCTTAGGCAGTTGATGACTTTTTCCTTTTTCTGCTTGCTTAGCATCAGAACTTCATACAGATTTTAAAGTTAATAGTAAAAAAACATCTGTAGATAATATGAATGTACTACTTTCTACTGTTAACTTTAAATGTTTTATAAACATTCTGCATTTCTCATATTATAGGTCATTTTTGTTAAGAAATATTAAAAACGTCACTGTTTCAATATCTTAACAAGGTTTTTTTAATAGTTATTTTTTGTTTTAGTTTTTCACTTTTATCTACAGTGCTTCATTTGTTATATTTTTTTCTCTTTTTTTTTTTTCTACTTGAGTGATACGACCTTTAAAGTGTTCCAAGAGTTTGAGAAGAAAATTACCATCAGTTAGGAAAATAATGTGAAGCTTCAATAAATTGTTCTTAGTCATCACAGAAATATTTTAAAAAGGGAAGAAAACACTATTCATGTTTCAAAACAACAAAAATAATAGTATTTAGATCTCTTGCAATATTTTGACACTTTTTTTTTCTACCTATTTATGGAACCGAATCTCAGATTTTTATAGCTACTGAACTTACTAAGTTTCCATGGTAATAGACATCATACTGTACCAAAGGAAAAACATCAGTTCAAAGTTTAAGAAACTAATGGTCCTGCTTAAAAACATGAGTATCAGGAATTCAGTTTGTTTGTAATTACGCATAAAGCTACAATAATACTGCATAACACGAGTATCAGGAATTCAGGTTGTTTGTAATGCCACTGGGGGGCAGCAGCTATTCAGAGGTGCAGAAATTGTTATTTAATGTCATAGTCCATAAAAATGGTAGTATCAGTTAAAAGTCTGAGAAACTAGAGGTCCTACATAATACTACATGAAATGAGTACCTGCAGTTCAATGTTTGAAACTATTTTTTGAAAATAAAACTTAACTCTGATATATACAACCTACATATAATCTCATTTCTGTTAGGGTTAACTTTCTTTACTTTGAATTTATTTACAGTGAATTTTTTTTATATGTTTGTGTGTGTCATTGCCTACAATAACATATATTTTTAATATTACATGTTTTATTTAGTCCATCAGGGTTTTTCATGATTAAAAAGTATATTACCACACTGTCTCCTCAATATTCATTACCATGGAGGTAAAATACTTCATCATACCAGCTGGGACACAAAATGTCGCAATGGGTGGAGCACTATTTAAACTTCATTTGTTACAACAATTTTTGTGGTGTGAACACCTTTTCTGAGCTAGCAAAGCATGATTATAATTAATTATACTTGCCATTAGTATTAGGCCTATTGTATTTTTTTTAAATTATATTCTTTATTCAGTCCCTTAGGATTTTTCAGAGTGTATAATAGTACTTCAATCACACTATGTCCACCATATCCTTTGCCTACAATGTATTTCGCTCAATACAGAGCTGATAAAGTCAACTGGGATTATATATTATCACTTGAGGAATTTAACCATGTTCAGCAACTCCAAAATTAATAAGAACTGGAGGAAATTATTTTTTTTGGTAGGTGGAGAATTTTTTTACAAACTTTTGGCCGAGATTGTGGTATTGTATTCTAGTACAGAGAGAGAGAGGTTCTTACAAAGCCAGTAATCATTTGAAACTGGAAGGAAAACCAGCAGATTCTCTTTCAAAATTGTGTATATCTCAGAAGACAGATGTCAGGAGCATCAGAAAAATGCTCAGTATGCTACCAGTTCAGCAGATGTGGATGCAATCATGGATACCAGTTTAAGAGAAAGCAAACCATAAAAACCCAGATAAGGTTTCTGATAGTGCTAATAAAAATATCAAATGGTTGAAGAGAAACACATCTACCTATAGATTGGTTATGTTCACAGAATTGTTGGAAGATATGAACTGTTATGGCTAGAATGGTGTGTGTTTAACTTTGGGGGGGGATAGAAAATGCTATACCAAAACGTACTCTGCATCAAATCCCTATATTTTATTCATATTTTTCCAGATCTTGTCTAGACCCTTATTTTGTTACCAAATATTTCACAATTGGTGTGTTTGACTTAGAGATTTGTTGTTGTTAAAGCATCATATACCTACTAGTAATTGATCACCTGTTTGTAATTATATAGGTTTTTACTTCAAACCAATTTTTGATTTTCAGGACTTGTAATTTGTCTTTTACGATTGCAATTTACAAAGAAAGTATTTAATGGCCATTGACTGAAGATCATATTGAATCCTGACTTTACACCATGGTTATAAAATGTTCAAATTTGAAAGGCAATGAATTCCACTAAACCATGTCTTCATATTGTAGTTATCAGGTGTAAGAGACAATAAACTCTGCTAAACCATGTCTTCATATTGTAGTTATCAGGTGTAAGAGACAATAAATTCTGCTAAACCATGTCTTCATATTGTAGTTATCAGGTGTAAGAGACAATAAATTCTGCTAAACCATGTCTTCATATTGTAGTTATCAGGTGTAAGAGACAATAAAGTCTGCTAAACCATGTCTTCATATTCTAGTTATCAGGTGTAAGAGACAATAAATTCTGCTAAACCATGTCTTCGTATTGTAGTTATTAGGTGTAAAAAGACAATAAATTCCACCAAACTATGTCTTCATATTGTAATTATCAGGTGTAAGACATAAGTTCCACTAAACTGTGTCTTCATATTGTAGTTATCAGGTTAAGAGACAATAAATTCTTTGGTACTTTATAGTGTGTCACAAAACATTTATCTAAGCAACTTAAGAACATCAACAGTGTCAAAGCCAAAAGAACTCAACAGATTGTTTCAGCAAATTCTTCTGTTAAATATAAGTTTTCATTACACTCGACCCTTGAGAAAAACAAATGAAAAGCAACCTTAAGCTCAAAATTAACCCTAAAGAGGAAAATCAAATAAAGCTTGTCAAATCTTAACAGCTTAGCAGCAAAAGATGATGTCAGTTACCAAGTATTCTTTCAATTCTTGCTTGAATGTTAGTCAGCTGTTGAAAACTTAACTTTTGAGTAGCACTATATTAATCAATATCAATTAAGTAGTTTTAAAGTTGCTAGGTTTAGTTGTCTGACTTAGCTCTAAGTTCTATGATTTTGTTGTTGAAATTATGTGAAGGTTATGTTGTCTGTTTCAATGAGTCACTAAACAAATATGTACACAGAAGACAAATAAAACAAGTACTCTGGTTTTGTAACATAAAAATCATAAAGTCTCAGCACATTATTAGAGCAGTATTTTGCTAGGAACAACATCCTAAAGTAGTGCAGTGAGAAGATGTCTACTTTCCCAAAATGTCACAAGTTTTGAGTAAAGGGCTTAATATAAATCACAATTTTCTGGTTAAGTTCAAGGATGAGTTTTGAAAGAATAAAGATAGCCTTTGAAACATGCCTGGGGACAGCAGGATTGGATATTAATTTCATCTTAAACCATATGCATTACCTATTCAAAAATTCACAGTTGAAATAGTATGGTATTCTCAGGTAAAACTGATTTTATTTAGTGACAAGATAAGCCTACTGAATAATGGAGGATTCTCTTCTTTGAAGACGTTATCAACCACGGGCACCTCCAGTCTCTTCTCAGCATTCTCAAGTGGCTTTCACCAGAGCTGGAATTGTGTTACTTTGACTGTTGACGGTCTGGGAGTTCCATACAGACTGCCCCACTTGTCGGACATCACACTCCTGTGATAACCCTCAGTTATTTGTGCTTCCCTCACAATGAGGTCAATCCTTGGGGGAAGAACACATAATCTCTGTAGATACACCAGACATATGTGGCTCTCTTTCCCGAGTCATCAGCTGCAATGAGATGCAAGTCATGGACCTTTGCAGCAAAAGCCCAAGGTCTCGGAAAGCATATCATCTAAACCAAAAAGCTCTCTCCTTACTCAAACAACTGTTTCCCTTCAGTGACTGACTCTTCCTCTTGGTTGTAAGTCCTTCAAGTTGTGGAAAATACAATTTCTATAGCAATGAATTGTTTTTTCTTAAACAGAAGAGAAAGAGTAAAGGTCCATGTACACATCAGCAGAAAAAACTCTGCAATAAGATATCCTGTGATCATGATACCAGAATTTCATCCTTCCTATCTACTCTTTGGTATCCTCAGGTAAAACTAGTATTACTCAGAGTAACAAGATAAGTCTGTTATATATTTTTATGAAGCAATTCTGAGTTCTCTGACTTTGACTGATTGAAAAAGAAAGTCTGGACACAATGGACAATATTTAATAAACACAATGACTATTTAGGATGCTGAACAATCATTTTTATTGTATCTTGAACAGTTTTCTTTGTAAACTGTATCAGTTGAGATAATATACCAGATTGTCCCAGTTGAAATCAAGTACCAGACTAACAAACCTAATGTTATTTAGAAAACTATAATGTCAGGCTTATCCAGAGTGACCAGTGTTTTCAATGTGACTGGTTATTCGTATTCAAACATAAAGGGCATCATAACATCGTGGAATCATAAGAACTACCAATGATGGATACTGCTGTAAATATCAATGCATAAGATGTAGCTTTACATCCATACTTTCCACAGGAGAATTAGCTGTTATCTCAAGAAACTAACAAAGAATAAATGCAATTAGGATGAAAGCAACTTAACAAATTTATTGACCAAATTTGCATATCAGAATAACTGACGAATTTTGAAAAATGCTCTATTAAAATCAGGTAAAATGCATTATATACACCACATTTTTCCTCCCTCTTTATTTCAAGCTTGTCCTCAAGCCAGTATTTTATATTAATTAATATCTATGGAATCTATACACGTGCACTGATCAAGAAGTACTGTAACTCTCTCTTGCCACAGTAAATACTTCATGCTTGTCCTCAAGCTAACATTTAATTCTAACTCTATAATTAATAGAATCTATACACATGCCTAGATCAAGAAGTACCGAAACTTTCTCTTGCCCCTTTATTCATCTCAATCAGTGTGATCAACCTTATAACCATCATGTAAAAATAAATCTAAATTACTTTTTCTAGAATGATGTAGTGTAACAAAAACGTACACACTATTTATTTTTACAGCCACAACTAATATATTTTTCATTTAGTTTTAATACATTACAGTTGCTGTTAGATCCTGTTAGGTTGTGTGATAGCTATGTTTTATGCAGAATAGCTATGTAAAAACAAAGGATCAATTACCAGCACACTCTTATCAAATCACACAAATACGCTCATGCTGAGTGCATGCTATGAATATTTTATTTATTTTTCTTTGCTAACCTAGCAAGTTTCTAATTTCTATATTTTATTTACTTTTATAACAATAACTAAAAAAGTCCATGTCATACAAAAACTCTAATTTTGTATAACAAGTGTGGTCTCAAAAGTAATTTTATTAAGTTCACATATTCAATTTTAAATACGAAATATCATTACTAATGTAAAATAGAAGGTTCTAAAACAAATATAATTTATCCAGCTTTCTAACTAAGCTAGGAATTAGTTAAATAATTCACATGTCTGATCAAGCAGAGTTTCACTGCTAGCAGACAACATAAATGATGCCAAAGACTTAAAAACTAGTTATCCAGATGGCTACTAGTCTCATCCCATTCAATAAGCTGGAATCTTCTCTTTCTATTTGTTAGAAATAACCCAATATTAAATGTTCTAGAGAATTACTCATATTTTTGAAAGACAGGAAGTCCTAGGAGGGTTTGACTTTCAGTAGAGCATCAGGAATAAAGGTTATAAATTAATATCTTAGCTTGGTGACATTTCCTTTTGAAATTAAAACTTATATAACATTGAAATTAGAATAAACTAATTTTTGATGCCTAGCTAATTGGTATGCATTGATAATTAAGTTGTTTAATTATATTTTGAATGTAACTCTGTAAAAGAGTAGTGTGTTAGATATAACAACAGCCTCCAGTTAAGTTTAATGTGATAGTTATGATTTAAATCATTATATAGCATGAGTGTTAAATTTAGTTATTTTTAGAAGTTTGTTTACGTAACTGTTTACGAATCATACCTTGTGGTTCAATTGTTGTGAATTGGCAATTATGTTATTGCATCATGTTACTAGACCCTTTTTCAGTTTTTCCCATGTTTAATTGAGTATTATTGCATCACAATATTTAGTAGTTTGTGGAACATTCTAGGCATCAGTTGGGGTATAAATACACATTGAAAATTTAGTTAGATCTAGACTGCACGACTGTGAGTTTTGTCATAGAGAGCGTGTAGTGGCAAATTTTAAAGTAACTGAATTGGCCTGTGTGGACTTTGACAAGAAAGAGGCAATTATTTAAAGCTCTCAATACACCTGTAATAACCAACAGCATAACAAACATTTATATATATGTTTGACTCTTTTTAATATATTTTAAAACAAGTGGACTGTGTTATTTGTTTATTGTTAAAATTTATCTCCAACAAGTCACAGACACCTACTGTAAACAATCCAGCCCATAAATAAAACTTGACATAGTGTTATAAGCACTTTGATCCACAGAGTCAACAAAGAAACCTACATTTGTTTTACATTAATAGCTCTTCAATAAAGATACAGTATACACACTGGAAAAATCTTCCACAATGGAACACAATACATCACTTACTAATTTTGCATAGTGACACTCACAAAAAATGTATTAATCATAATATAAACCCTTTAACAATGAAATGTTACAACATACTAAATTCAAAAACACACAATTCAGCACTCTGATATAGAGCAACAACTACAACTACAATTCAGCATAAGAAAAAATACAAAGTAAGAGTCACAAAATGAACCATTTGATCTGAAACCAAAACACTGAAATCCATGTACACAATATCCAAAATAAAACGTTTAACATTTAGGTCTAGAAAAGCAAATGCTTTGTTCCCTATTACATGCTGAAAACAATTGGGTAGGTAGGCAGGGTATTTTTAATACAGATACATATTTTATAATATATCAGATTGTTCTAGATGCTAAGCACTATCAGAAAAAGTATTATTTAGACATATGGTCACTATAGAACTAAAATGTAAAAATTCGAAACTCTTTAGGTTGGGTAAGGTTAGTTTAGGTAAAATAAATGATAAAATAATACAAAAATTTCATGAACAGCTCAGAATAGCTCATGGGTAATGTAATTCTATAGATAACGTGAGGTGCACGTTCCCCAAGTGAGTTACAACTTATAATGGTACAATAGTAGTTAGACAAGGTTCAAAGGGCAGTACAACAATATAATTTATGTATAAATAGATGTATACTGTTATGAGTTTATAACTACTTAGGATAAACAAATGTAGTTTCATGTTGCAATGTGAAGTCATTCCATACAGAAAAAAGTGTAATTTATATTTATTTCAATTTTTTTTTTGTAGTTATGAGGCCAGTTAAATTGACCAAACTTGTATAGAGCTATTATTATGTTTTATTGAAAAAAAAAAGAACGTTTGAAATATATTTAATAGGTTTTATAGATTACGCAAATGACATTCGAGATGAAGAAAAGTATTTTTAATCTTAAAAAATCACTTTGCACTCGGACTGGTAAAAAGAAAGGTTCGATATATTCACAGACAAATCTGTAGTAAAAATACTTCACTAAAAATCTAATTTTTTGAATATAAAGTTTACTGAAAGTCTGCAAAAGTTTGTGACCATAACAAGTACAAAGTGGTCATGCGGTCAATCAACTTGACCAAACTCATGTTGTTTGTGATTTAGAGCAAAACCACACTGGGCTATTTGCTGTGTCCACCACAGAGAATCGAACCCATAACCTTACTGCTGTCCCACCAGGGGACAAACCTGTGTTGTGAGAGTTAAATGGCTAAGAGCATTGACACACGTACCACACCGACTAACGAATCATAGACGTGGTTTCTTATTCCCTTCACCTTGTACAATATAGTAGCATATTAATTCAATAATTTAACGAAAAAAAAATCAAAGAGCATTTTTCGTTAGGGTGGGTCAGGAGTGATTTTTTTTGGAGGAGAGGGGTTGAAAAAACATTGTTATGTAGGGTCGGTCGGTCAACCAGAAACAAAGCATTCTTTTTCTAGGCCTTATGAATATTATAATTACAACATAAAACTAAATAGAAATCACTAAACAAATTGTCTGAAATGAATGCAGAATTGATCCTAAAACACTGATATTTATACACAAGATAAAGAAAATAAATCCCTTAGAAATTACAGTACAGAAAGATTAAAACTATGTTCATAGTGTGCAAATACACAAACAAATTGGGAATTTGTACATTTGAGATAATGGAACAACAAACAGAAAAAAAATGAAATGCAAAGATACAGATATTTACAGACCTTAAATTAAAAATGTATATAACTATCTTAACAATAGCAATGAGATCTGACTCCCCTCACTTTCACCCTAACAGCAGATCCTCTAAAGAAGTGACAGATCATGATTGGTTGCCATAATGTCCTTGGTGATTTCTTGAACCAAGGATCATCTTGGTTTGGGCCAGCTCTATCTACAGGTAGTGGACCTCTTTTTCCAACATGGAAGGTGAGATTGAGGGCTTATTCCCTGTTTTACATGGCTGTTATCTTACTATCAGTGCCAATTTATTAGCTGTACCTGCTGCTCTGTCAGAACAATGAAACAGTGGTGGGCTGGTCAACCCTTGGTTGTCATTGAGGTAGCTCATTGGACCACATAGTCGCTAGTTGCTCTGCTGATGTTAGTGTGAATGTCCCGAGCTTTGTCTTGGTAGTGGTATGGGGAGTCACAGTTACGTTTTGGTCAGCTTTTGAGGTGGAGGCACCTTCATTCAACCTGAAGGCTCTTGCTGTCAAATGTACTACTGGTGTGGTTAGTATAAAGACCTTCACAACTACCACATTTCTATTTACGGTGGTCCTTCTACTAGCCATTAAAATCTACACCTCTGTCATTGGTGGTGCTGGTTGAGTGTTGGCAAATATCTTGGGTGTCCCTTCCTGGCACCCAGTTTCCTCTTAAGACAACTTTAGCTCCAGATCCAATTCAACCACTAGAGAGGTGGTGGTTTATGGCCACTGTGCTCACAACTGACTGGACTGCCTGGCCCTGGAAGTTTTCAAATCTACCTTATAGGTCAGTAATCACAGTTAATATCATATCATTAAGTCTTAACATCCAGATCAAACTCTTCATTTCCATTCATATGTTGCTTAATAATTGTATTACTTGCATAATTCATCCACTTATGTTAACACACATGAATGACTGTATAATGTTGGTATACGTGTAAGGCCAAACACATATAGTTATTTATACACTACCTTATTACACGTGATCACACAAACCAGAAGCTTAAAATGTACTGCCTCTGGCTCCCACAAAAATTACTGGTAAACATTTTAGAGCTACTTCTCAAATCTACAACTCGGTAATTGCACTCAACACGTTCTTTTTTTAGGCATCATAAAAGAAAAAATATATTACAGAATTCAGCTAAACTAAGATTCTTCAGCTAAAATTCTTGTAAGTCAGGATTTATACTTGACTGTTACTACAGTATTTATCAATAAAAACTCAAAGAAAACACAACAACCTCACTGCACGTGGAGAGGTCATACACTGTTCAAGTGTATGAAGAAAGATCTAGTGAGTATACTCCATATAGCTCCATTCAACTAGATAAGGTGAATGATTATTGGGAAACATTGGATGCCATTTTGCCACAGAATGTCCCTTGATAGCTTGGAAAGCAATGCTTACATCAACCTTTCAACTGATGTTTTGAACTCTTAGCTATAATTTTCAGATGTGCAAACTGTTGGTCTAAGTATTAATCTACTAACAACAGCTGTCCTAACTGTGTAGATTGAGCAGTTACAACTGATATCCTATGGATCTCTATGAAAGTGAAACTATGCTCAATAGCTTGGAAAGTAAAAGTCATAAATTCATTTCAGCCCAGATGATCTAACAAACAGCAAATGGCAACATTTATATTGAAAAACTGGTCAGACGATAGAACAAAGATTAAAAGAACATAAAATTGCAACTAGATTAACACATCCAGATAAATCGGCCTTTGCTGAACATAACTATAAAATAGGTCATATCGTAAACTGGGATCAGCATAGAGTTTTTGACAAAGCTTGCCACTGGAAAAAAAGAAAAGTCAAAGAAGCTACATCAAACTACACCAACTTGAACTCAACAGTCAATGGTTTGCATTTCAGCATCCAGTGGACAACAACTCTTATCAAATTCTAGAGATAATATGATGTCGTCACATTTATACTGACAATACCCACCAATCACCACATCTGCTGAACCCATACAACTGCACTTACCTTCATAAGACATCACACACAAGTACCTAAAGTGACACGAATAAGGCCTCATTATAGAAGCCAAAACAGTGTCTCCTTTTCTTTCCACAAACAGTTTTAGTCCATTAAAGTTAAAAAAAATCTCTTTAGTTTCAATTTTACGTACCTATGTACAGGCTTCATTTGCATACCAATTATGTTTATATACATCATTAGGTTCTGTCTAAACTTTTCAAAAACAGTCATTTCTTATTTGATGCTTGGGTGTATATTTATCAGTTTCATTAGGTAAATAAGAAACATGTATAATGTTTTCAGTTAGTTTGGATATAATATTAAACTACATTATGAGTAGAATGTGTGTGATTTTTACCATTGTAGTTCACATCCCAGAGGTATTGATATCACCACATATTTCTACAGAACTGGTTTTTCACGGTATTATTTTCAACTAACAGTTTTTTCATAGCAGAAAAAGGGGAATAATAATTTTTTTTAATAATATTGTCACGAATTTCAAGAATTATTTCACGTTTTTTCTTAGAATTTCTAATGTAAAGTTAGCAATAAATAACTACAACAATGGTACTACTTTCAATAATATAAGTGACTTATTAGAATACAGTTAAAAATTTGCTTCATTATAAAATATTTATGGTCATAGATTTACCACTTTTTTCTGTAAAAACAAAATATTTCAACCAATGATTTTCTAACCCTTGGCCTTCCCATGTTTTGATAAGGATTCTAGTATTATTGTCATGCTCATTGATGGACATCAATCCTGGAAAGGAGAAAAATATTTACATTTAATGTTTTCAAACTTTTCACGTCCAAATAATATGCTAAAATAATTATTTGAGTTGTCTAGTTATGTAATTTCTTGCCAATTTAAGCACAAGTTATGAGTCATCCATGGGGGCAATTTGTTTACTTTGATATGTTTATGTTCTGCCAAGTTCTATTTATAATCTCAACAACCACCAAAGCTTTAGTAATAAACATTACACATTAAATGAAAAGGTATTGATGCCAAGTAATGCAAATTCATAACAAACTTTGTTTTGTGGTATAGTTATTTGATTTGTAGCACTAAATATTTAGACCTACATTAGGTTATAATTTAAGTTTCTTAAGCAGTTTCCAGCCATACTAACAATGGAAATAGTTTCAACCTGTCTGTCATAACATCAAGGACAAGCTATCAAAATATCTCTGTTAGATAACCATGCTCTAATGCTATTAAACGTAATATTATAACTGTAGTTTGGAGATGTACCTTAGAAACATTTGTGTAAAGTTGTCAGCCTGAATGGTGAATTGTGAGCACAAGCACAAATTTACCAACATCTAATTATGGTTTAGTCTTAGTTTTAATGGCACTTTCTGATTGGATCAAATTGTACACATGTTAATGGCATATATTGTACAATCTGCCAATAGTATACATTGTAGCAACATAAGCTAAATGATGCCTAAGTGACCCATGAGTGTACCAAATGACCTCTGTATCCTACGATTTAATATACTGCAATACAGTTATAAATATGGCAGTATACTGCTATATAAAATTTCTGGAAATATCCACCCCTAATCAAGAGCTGATTGAGACATACCTCACAGAAAGCTAAGTTATTTAGTTCACCAAACTTTTTCACATATATGCACTTTCAGTCTTTCTCATACAAGAAATCAGTTTTGTATAGTATTGACCTTATTTCATGTGCTAGTTATATGCACAGTCAAGACCACTGTCTCACTTTTGTTTTTAGAAGTTTCTCACAGAAAGTGTTAGTTGACATTTATTTTCAGATCCCGTACCTGCTCCTTCTAGTGACATGGCTGTGTTAAAGTTTAGAAATTCCTGGTGGTTAAAAGTCTTCCTACTTTTACTTTGAAAACCATTGACATAGGTGGCACCTGCACTCTGCAAGGAATAATGTTATTGTTATTCTCTCTCAGTCTATAACAGAATAGATCAATAATTCAAACCACTCTTTCTATCATCTAGAAGCCCTCTCTGTCATTTGTGTATTTATCTTTGATATGTTTTGCACTGAATAAAGATTGCATTTACTTTATTCAACATTGTATTCACTCTCTTCAACTCAGTGAAGTCATATTTTAAGTTTTAATTTTAATACATTTCTTATCATTCATCCAGTTATCTTAAGTACTACTCAGTTATAAGATAGTTAGTGCATCTTTGAGTACCAAATCCCTAAATTTCTGCTCCATTGGTCAAATTTAGATTAAAAAAGAAATTATAAGATAATAAAAAACCCCTTAAGAGTATAATCTATATGTCTTAATAAGTTATTGACTTAAAGTTGTGTGGCAATCTCTCAAAGAAACTAATTCTATTATCATAACTTAATTCTTAATAGTCATCTTTACTTATCATTAATTTCACCTTGTGTTCTGTTACTCTTAATCCAGAAACTAAATTAATCAGTTTACCTAAATTATTTTTAAAAAATTTCTGAAATCAGGCAGAAGTGTCACAAGTAATATATATAATGTCCTTATGATAAAAATTCCCATTATTTATAGATAAAAAAATTACTGTTCATAAGCTATAAACTCTGAAATACTGTAACAAAAAAGGCCATTTTTTCATACATACTCTTACGACAGCGGGGGTCATGTGACGTTCACATCCCTTCCTGAAGTCTCGAGAGGCTACTAGATATGCGGTATTCCTGTATATATAAGACCGCTAAGAAGTGACGGCAACAATGTAATGGAATGTGTAATTGAACTGCAGACAGAGATAGATACGGACAGTTGAGTCGAGCACGTGAGACGTTCGTTGTGAATTATAGCGTTTGTTTTAGCGCGACTGTGGAAATTAAGTGTATTGCAAAGATGTATTCAGAAAGAATAAACCAGTTTTATTTAAGAAAAGACTTGTATCGGTAAAGTTTCTTTGGAAAGTATTTTTACGGAAATTAACTAACGAACAGAGACGTAACAAATTGGTGTCAGAGAGTGGGACAAAAAAAATGGAAACGAGAAGCAGCAAATCAAACTACAGCTTAGCAGATTTGATGGCAGCAATACAAGAGCAGCAAAAGAAACAAGAAGAGAGACAACAGCAGTTGCAAGAAAACCTGCAACAGTGGCAGCTCGAACAACAAAATAAACAAGAAGAGAATTACAGCAGTTGTTGGAGGAAAAAAAAAAGAAACAAGAAGAACGAGAAAAGAAACAAGAAGAGAGATTACAGCAGTTGTTGGAGGAAAAAGAAAAGAAATAAGAAGAACGAGAAAAGAAACAAGAAGAGAGATTACAACAGCTATTCGAGGAGAAAGAAAATGAACAAAAAGAGAGACTACAGCAGTGGATGGAAGAGAAAGAAAATAAACAGGAAGAAAGTATCCAATAGTTACAGGAAAGTCAACAACAGTGGCAAGAAGTACAAATGGAAAACATTAGTAAATTTAAAAGCGAATTAGATACATTAAAGGATGATTTATTGTCTTTTACACAAGGAGGATACATTAACCATCGACTTAATCAGCCCCAGACAATGGAAAGCCCTTTCCAGACCCCGCAGCTAAACCCTAATGCAGACATCTTCAGTCCTGAATATGAATGTCAGTACTAGGAGTGA